AAAAATCTCTACTTGTTCAAATAATATATTAAAAATTTGTAATTTTTTACCCATTTCTTCACATGAAACTGTTTTCTTGCCTATATTTTTCTTTTCAATTAAATTTCCTTTCATTTGTATTTTCTGTTGTTATATTTCTTGTTATGATTAAGAACACATGAAGTATTTTCTATTCAATTATGTTATTCCCATCATTATTTACATTTTCCCATCTATACACCATATTTGTAATTTTTTAGTAAAAAAAAATCTTCACTTAATAGATACATTATTATATAGCATTTTTGACACGATCTCCACATATACCTTTTTTTGTCTAAACAATGCTGGAAACCAACACTTAATTTTTTCACGGAACTATTTTAAAAAGCGAATTTTACCTTCATATGCCCTCTGAACTTATAATAAAACTACTCACATCAAATTATTTCCCCCTCGAAGCCATTCAACTTTTATACTCGAAACATCTGTCGGTGTCGTTAATAGTTTCGAAGATATTCGCAATGATCGATTTAAATAGGACAACCTGTATAATTCTCTTATCATTGCACTGTTAGGTACCGACAGTTCAAAACATATCAAATGGAAAGAAAATTTTCGTGTAAAGATAGTGTTACTGTAGAAGTATTTATCGATTCAAAAATTGCAGATTTTATTCACAAAAGAAATTACGAACTTATTGTATAAATGAAAAGATGTTATAAATAATGATGAAAATTGCAAGTAACTCTCCTACAATATGGTTTAAATATGTTTGAAACCCTCAGAGATCTTCAAAACTGTTTAGTTCCGTATCACCAAGTTTTATAAGTGATACAAAATAAGAATACTTCTAAGCTTAACGCTATACGTAATTTATTGATAAAGAAATATTAAGTGACAAAAATTTGCATATCGTTAAAAAAATGTTAGAATATTTTTGGACGACAGTGAAGACAAAAATTTAGGAATTTTTGTCATTTTAAACAACAGTTTTGTTGAACTACATACATATTTTCGTATTGTACGAGGGTTACCTGCATATAACTGATCAACAAAATTTCAGTTGGTATAACGAAAGAAACACAATGATTAACTTTATAATCTAATATTTTACTTTTATTATCACCTCATCGATAGGTAATTAACAAATATATATATGCATCTAAAAACGAAGAAAATTGTTGATATAAATATGTTGATAAGAATCCAATTCAAAATGTAGGAATAATTTCACTGGAAGCTTGAACGTAATTTATGATATGTTAAAAAGACAGGGCGCATTGATACGATATTGCAATATGTATTTGACAGACATAGAAATTTAAAGGAAAAACACTGTGTAGAAAGGAGGAGGGTCGTGTAAAAATCTTACAAAATAATGCTGGCAAAAAGAAACTGACCCAGGTACGAAGATATACTATATGAAAAATTAAAAAAAAGACTATAGAAAGATGAGAAAAATGTACTGCTCTTTTGTAGGTCGACCACGCAATACTGAAGATTCTAACGCGCATGTCAAGTAAAAAGGCGGTAACTAGGACGTTAACACATACGAAAAACTGATATTATAAAGAAAACCTCGGGAGATGTATTGATACCTGTTTAGATTTATAAAAGTAAAAACTAAAAATTTCTTTGTTATTCTTAAATGGTAAAAATAGTTTTCTGCGTTCACCTATTTACCGACTGCTCACGTGAGGCTCGATCGTCGCCTAGCGTTGTTCATAGAAATGTAAGTACGATAGCCTTGTTCTGTCGTGATTGGCTGACTATAAGCGAAGACGTCACAAGTTCTCCTCCATCTCCCACTTTCTGACTCTAACTCCCTTCTACATGTTTAGAAGCTTCAGTTTTACGTGGTCGGCCTATACTTTGCATATGTGCCTAGGGAGGAACGAAAGTGAGGGAGAGAGAGAGAAAAGAGACATAGAAAGTGGGAGAAGTAAGTCTTATTAAAGAAAAAAAATAGATATAATTTACATTGTACATGTTACGTTGCCATTAAACACCCATTATTTATGTAAATGATGACGATTTTCTTATTGTATTTTTATTCAACGAAACAGGGCGAATTGTAGTTTTAAACGACTGTAATTAAAAATTTTAGTGTTCTAAAACAGGCAACTAGAGGTGGATAGACCGTTTTATTTAATTTACATATTTGATATAGAAAGGTTTAAAAATACAAAAAAATAATTTACCTATTCATTTCAATGTATTTAATATTTTAATTATTCTTTGACACGAACGAAGTTTCTTCGAAGAAAAATGTTCTTCTCAATAAAACAAGTGTATCAATTAGTAGATTTTTATAATTATAAATATTATGTTACGAAAATACAAAAATTGTCATTTTTCTTATTTTCCTCAAATTATAAATTGGCTAAGATTATTATCGCTATATTAACGCCTTTATACAATATCACGAACCAGGATATCAGAGAATGCATTAATAATTATTGATCATAGAATCCTCATAACTGTTAATCTAACCTACAGATCGATAGAATAATGAGTAGTCTTCCTTGGCAATGGCATTTCTTAGATCGACAGTGAACAAAACAACCTTGACATTAACATTACTTCCTTCAATTTCATAGACATTTTCAATATTTATACAATGTTTTAAAGTTATATAAATATATGCATATATACTTGTATTCATCAATTATATTCTTTGAATTATGTCTATGTCTATTATGTCTATTATGTCTATACAGTAAAAACGAAATAATAAAAGTCCAAAAATATGAAAACAAATTATGGCGTTCTCCAGAGCATAGTTCATTTTTTCATATAGTCCAGAAAGTCACGTGTGGCTTTTATCCCATTTCAATGGATCAAAATGTCAAGGGAAACAAATTCAGCATAAATATTAAGCGTCTTAAACTCTTTCTCATGTTGAATAAATTTTCGTTTATTTGAAATTTATAGTACTTTACTTCGTTTGATTTACAGGTTATGTGTTTTCAACTTCAGTTTAATTATAAAAAGTATTGTATGAAAACTCCCACTTTTGTTTTCAGAATTTCTCTAATGTAAATGTAAATTTTAACTGTCGTTTTAAAACATAAAGTAAAGTATATAAATTTATAGACCATACAAAGTGACTCATAATCGATTCAGTTCGACATTATTAATTATACTGAAATATGTTTCAGATAAAAGTTTAATGGTTTCGAGAGGGCATAATTTAATATTAATAACCTTTTTATAAGTGAACGCATAGAAAATCTATGAAGGTCGATCTTATTTTTTGGAATGAAACTGTATGCTTTTCTTTCTCTACAAAAAAAAGTACTAGATCGTTCGTGCTGAGAAACTACATATTAGATCATCAGGATATTTTAATCTTAATATCAATGAACTGTACTAATTTGATGAGTTGAATGACATAGTTACTATAAATCAAGTTAAATTTAGATTTCTTATTTGTTCCTCTCGTAATAAGTAATATTACAATAATGAGGGAGAATATTTCGGATGAATCAGCTACTTTAATTAACTCAATAAAATTGCGAGTCCTTCCAAACAAATTGACAGAAATTCTTTTGCTGCCTTTCGAGCAACAAGGTCGACGATGAGGCGCGTCAAATAGGACAGTTATATGACGATCGTTGACCTCGTGTTATTTCTCTATTTCTAAGAAATTAGCATCATCTTTCCTGGTCCTCTCTTTCTAAAATGTGCAAAATAAAATGTTTAGTAATAAAAAGGTTGATAAGTTAAGACTCTCACGATAAGACTTAAGTCTTAATTTACAGTTTCTAAAATATTCCTATAGATGATAGCAGAAATTTTATAAATTTCTATATTTAGTAGAAATAGTAGATAGTAGAATTCATAGTAGAAGATTTATACTAGAAATTTTTATAATTTAATCATTAGTAATTTTATTTAGAATATCAACATTTAATTAGTATTTTCTGTGAATGAAAAGTTTAAGAAGAATAAAAACTAAAATGATAAGGTTAATAGGAGCTGGATTTTGAGTTTAAGTATGTACTATTTTTTTATATCATTATACTTATAGAATAGGACAGATTGTGTGACATAAGCTCTAATATAAAATCCCTATATAGAAACGAATAACCTGAATAAAATAAGGTTAATTTCAATGACATACATAGTATTTCATATTTCGTTCATCGGATACATTTCTTTCATGTTTGTCACACTAATGGGATTCTGGTTCGTTTATATTTCTTATAAAGATTATCATCAATGAACAATGGCTAATGCTGATGCGGTTTTTGCAATTATTTCATGCCCTTGTATATAGAAGCATCGTTTGCATCTTCTACCTTGATATACAAGATAGAAAATTCACGGACTACAATTACGATGAAATTCTGACCCATTTTTCGAGGTTAACGAAACGATTAAAATAATGTCTAATATTTTTAAAAAGAAAAACGTATGAATATGCATAAAATTATTCAATAGAAATAGGCTTTTATAATAAGTTCAATTTTAAAAATTCAAAGACTAAAAATTAAATTCCTTTTCTGATAAAGCAAACATTAATTACTGCTGTAAAAGTGAGATTTAAATTACTCATTGTATCTTATAATAGCTTAGCGTATTTTATTTATATCGGTACAATTAATGATGCTCATCAACTATTTTCAAGGGAAAGTGAAGATTATTTTTTCCCGTAAGTCAAGTTTTTAACGGGAGATGATTTCACTTTCGAGAAGCAATCACATGTGATTCAAGGTCACTGAAATTAATTAAATGCGAAATTATCATTATTAACTGGACATTGTGTGTAAATTTATTGCTACGAAGTATCTAATATATGTCAACTGATTTTTTATAATTAAGCTCGTTCTAACAGTAGTTACACAAGTTAAAACTCCGCCGATGACCAGAGTTCTGTGTTTATCAATAGGCATAAATTCAGCCCTGACATTGAGAGTCGATGAATGAAAATGCACTTGTTACGGTTTCGAGTTAACGGCGAAAAACCCGAAGCTCTATTGTCGATTTGTAGGGGAGCGCGTACCGGTAGCCGATAACCCAACGTCATAGACTATCGAATATTCTAGAAGGATCTGTAGCGGTGCGAGGGTGAATTCTGGTAAGAAGACTGTGAAAAACAGTATAGCCGTTCTGTTTATAATAGTAATGTAATGTAGTGTAAATTATAATAGTAATGTCTTAATTTAAATACTTTAATATTCTATCACACTTTAAGTACATATTTTAACTATTACACTCGGTAAATTTTATTGTGATGAACTATTGTCATATCCCAATTCTAATGTGGGTACGCATATACATAATAAGAATGGGATCTTGTTGCCACCGGCCGGTCTACCGACCTTCCGTACTGTGTTCGTTCGAGAACGTCTGCTATACTCAACTGTTGGGCTGATACTGACACAGACATCTGAGATGTTAGAATTTGGAACTACAGAAACGAGTATTGGAGCGAGTATGCTTGCAAGATAATGGAGAGATATAGTGAGACACCTGGTGGCCACTATTAGAATCATTTAGATG